TCGAAGGTGCATGATACTATCCAACTTTGACAAAAAACAACGTTAAAACGTATTTTTAAACATCATTAATGTGTATAATTTAACTAAATAATACCTTAATTCAGTTAAAATGTGTAATCCTCTTAATTTCAAATAAGTGAACATACCTGATTAGAAGCCCTTTAATGGCCGGTTGCTGAGCTGTCCTCTGTGTGTTGTTATCAAAGAGAGCCATCACACAGCTAATGGATGAAGTGACATCTGACCTGCAGGGCTGCTCTATCAAACTGACCTCATTATTGTCCCATTCACAAATCCGCTGATAAGGCTGGAGAGCTTGTCCTGTCCCGGAGCTTTGCTTGGTAAACAAACCCGCAGACACAGTGGCTCTTTAACTTCTTCAAACTTTCAATCACACGGGAAACAGTTCCAGTCCGACCTGTCACTCACGCATTAGCCGCAGATAGGGAGGAATCCACTCGCAGAGCAAATAAGTAGTTCTTAGTTTTATTTTAATTCATGCTGTTTAATTTAGTCCTGCAACTAGTGTAATATTTGGCACCTGTACAAAAAAGAAAAAAAGAAAAGGTAAATCCACTATGTAATTTTAGGGGATTTACATTACACATCACACCAAAAGCACATTTTGTGTTGTTTTTTTCTAATAATGGATATAGGAATTTTTACCAAGTCCATGAACCTTGCTACATGTGCTACACATGCCTTCCATTTGCATATATTATATAATTATATATGTGTCAAATTATATAATAAGTGAATTGACTATAAGAGTGTGTGTTGGTGTTTCACCCTTAATGGATTCTGACCTAAAGGGCCTGAGGAGGAGAATCAGCAGAGAGCAGCTGAAGGAGCTTCTCCACTCAGATAAGAGGAAGCTGCAGACAGAGAGGAGACCAGACACTTCAACCCATCAGATAGTGTGTGTGTGTGCGTGCGTGCGTGCGTGCGTGCGTGCGTGCGTGCGTGCGTGCGTGTGTGTGTGTGTGTGTGTGTGTGTGTGTGTGTGTGTGTGTGTGTGTGTGTGTGTGTGTGTGTGTGTGTGTGATAATGATGGGTGTGTTCTTCACAACATGCTCTTATTTATGAACTATAGAAACATACAATCAAACACATTCTTTCACAAAGACACATATATGCAAAACATTTCTGAACAGAATCAAATCAAGGAAAAGTCATTACAATTAGGAACTTTAATCATTTTAGAACCAAAATCATAATCAGGTTTATTGCCAAGTAGGAGTGCATATGGAATTTGCTCTGGTGTACAACGGTGAATACACAATAAGAGTCATTAAGAAAATGAACAAATGTCTAACTATAAAACTATCTTAAAACGTATAAGAACAATAGTAAACAAGAATTTACAAGCTATATAAATATACAAAAAAGTAAGTACAGTAAGAATATGACTGTATATTCTAAGAATGAAATATATGCCGTATACTTTAAAGGGGACCTAAGTGTCTTTGGGTCTAGAAAAGCGCTATATAAATCCCATTTATTATTATTATTATCATGCAAAATGCACCTTTGTACGTCTTTTATACATGAATATGTGTCCCCGGCGTGTCAGGGAACTCACCAAGTGTCAG